CACAATGACACAATTGTGTATCCTGACACAATTTTACAAAATAATAAAAAAAACATAATTAAAAATAAAAATAATTAAATTAAAAATTATTATAATTAAAAATGAAAATAAAAAATAATTTAAAATAAAATAAAAAAAAAATAAATTAAAAATTATTAAAATTAATTAATTAAAAATAAAAATAAAACATAATTTAAAATAAAATAAAGGAATAATTAAATTAAAAATTATTATAATTAAAAATAATAAAATAAAATAAAATTTTAAAATAAAATAAAAAACAATTAAAAACTAAAAAAAAAAATGAAAAACAACTTACACCAAAATCCTGTGGACACAAAACTGTACCCTCGATCATTTCCAGAGTTACAGAATAATTTTGAGGTCTGTGGACACAATTCTGTATCCCCACACTAATCTGTATCCCACATTAATCTCATTCAGAACTGGCCATAGAGCCATACAGTAACTGCATATGTGTTTAGTATCAACCAGGGGTCCCTGCTCACCTCGAGTTTGGCGTTGCAAAAGAGCTGCAATGCCAAAGACCAGGCGCTTGCCGAAGCACAGGCGCTGATGGCGGCCTTTTTGAACCATCAAACATGACGATATGATTTAGTATATACCCTCCAGCAAATGAACATAGACACTGCCAGATAGGGGTTGGAAGATTAGTTTCCACTAAAAATGATTATGTTCAGGGTCTTACGTTAATTTACCAGGGGGTGAATCTGTACATAATACAGTAGTAATAATACAATAATACAGCAAATGAGTGTAAAAACATGTAAACATATGTAAACACTGTATAGTATATTATCATTCATTATGATGTCAACACTATTTAACACCAAGATAGATCTGAGGCAGCAAAGGTGGTATGCATCAGTTTGGCAACAATATGTCAACAATAAGTTGAGAAACCATTCAGTAGGAACGTTGGCAGGTGGTTGAGTATCCTTTCACTAAAGGAACTGATTCCAGAGCAAATTCAAAGCCAGGGGGCTTCTCTAATATCAACATAAGTTGTGATGAGATCCTTCAAAGCTTGCTATATTTTGCGATTGCTATGGATGATCCAATTGGCTGTTCATCATCTGCACAAAAACAAAGTAAAAATATGAAACACTGAAATCCATATGGAAGAATATTCATTTTCCAGGGTGTTTTCTATCCTGCTGCATTTGTTTGAATGAAAGCTTGTTTAAAACACGGTGAAACCTCCAAAAGCAAGCTGCATTGTAGTGGATGACGTTGACATCACCACGAGATCTTTGAACAGCTTCCAAGAGAGTCGCAGCTGCCAAGGGCTTGTGAAGTCTTCCCAACTGGCCTCGGAGCTGGAAGACTCGAGGAGAAGATCAAGTCCCGACCGTCCCGACCCAACGGCCAGTATGCCTTCTGCGAATTTCACATATCTATGTGAGATGGCATGTTTGTACAGTACATGATTTACCCATTCAAAATGGTGCTTTTCCATAGCTACGTTGGATTGCCAAATTATTCATACATAAAATAGTTATAAAAATGACATAAATGTGTGAGAAGCTGTGCTGTGGTTCTCTTTCCATCACCAATTTCAATGCAGTGTCCCCGCGGGTCATCCAAGATTTGAAGTCTTAAAGTCTGTAGCCAATCTCACAAAGTACATGAAATGTACGTACATGTACTTACATGTACTTACCACTACTTACCTGTACATGACATAACTTGGCTGTGACCATTTCTCAACAATTCATCCTTATCACCAATCAAATATGTATATTATCATTTCTAGTTAATTATATAGTAAAATATCCATTTCTTTCATGGGTGATATACTCATCTTGTCACATCTTATTCCATGAGCACTTTCTGGGACCCCAGGCCTATGCACTTCGTCAAGGCCCTTGCATCCAAGTCCTTGCACAAGTGATCCACCGGCTGATCGCGTGTCACCGCTTGGATGATGCTGTCCATCTTCAGCTTCGCTGATCGCTTGAGACAGAGGGATAGCGGAAGAAATGTCCAGTGCCATGAATGCCAGCGATGACAGGGGGAAAAAGAACTTGGCAAATCAAAGTGCTTCCCAAATCCCAAATAAAATAGTTACCCTCTGGTAATCAAACGAGGCAATGGGAATCCCAGAAGTAAATGGAGGTTTCTAGCTAGGACAATCGACTACAAATATTGGGATTATTGGGGGATTTGTCTTTGCCACGTTTGATTACCGCAGGGTCCTTTTATTGGATGAGATGCTTCTTTGCTTGGAAGATTCCCGGAACCTTACCATCACTTAAGTTCATCATTTACCGGTTTCGTTCAGCCAGTGAGGTCGCTAACATTTTTCAGCATAGCAACGAAGAAGCTGATCTCTCTACATCGCAACGATTCGACTACTTCCAGCAAGTTATCACTCGAATAACAGCAGCAATCTTGGAAACATCTCTGACCTTTGATGTCTTCTCCACTTGACTTGTTCTTTTTCGGTTTGAATAGGCGACCAGGTCGCTTGCCGCGCTGCTCAGAGCTTTGTGAAGGTTCCTTCTTCAAAGCCCATCTCCTGGAAATTATTGAAACAGGAAATGAATGGAATGAATGGAAACTAAAACAAAAGGCTATGAAACTCCAACAAAGTGGACCAATTCTGGAACGATATGCGGTACCCAGAAGGGAAACGTCAAGATTGTTGCATCACACAAAGCATAGATATGTTCATTGTTTTTTTTCAATATCTTCTATGAATTCCGTGGTATTTCATGGTATCTTCATGGCATTTCCTTTTTTTATTGAGACCATCCCGGCCATCCTTGTACATGAAAGCATCTCCGCGACCCAAGCTCCAGAGCATATCTTCCCACACTGGGATATGACCTGGGACGATGCGCTGGAAGCCACCATGAAAATCATGAAAATAGATGATAAACATATACATAAAGACCATGATTTACCTAGGAAATCCTAGGATTTCATGGTGATGGAACCCTTTAGCAGTCAGCTGTGAACATTAGTTTACCGATTACAAGCTCAATTTTCAGAAAATCATCGGCTGTACTCCAAAATAAAGGGGTTCCTGTAGATTTCCCCTTCATCTATTTTTGGGAGTAAGCCTGTCTCCAGGAATCGCCTGCTTTTCAACTCATGTTGGCACACCTTTGGTGATTTTCATATGAGTGGCGGACAAAATTACTTACTATCTGCAATGGACATGGCCAAAGTCCCCTATCGGTTGTGAAGGTTTGTACTTCCGTGCTAAGTACAAAAATAGGGTATCGGTAAGTGGCTGGTCCCCTATCGGTTGTGAATGTTTTCGCACAAATTGGACATCCCATGTCCACTCTCCACTACTTTGGTGTTCTGCTAATTTTGACCGTTACTCATATATCCGTAGGGCGAAGTTAAATACCAAAACAAGAGAAGGTCAAACTCCAATACGGTATAATTGCAATGTGATTGACACCTTCTCCTTCATAAGTCCAGCCCTAGTTAATCGGGTGTCGTACAATGTCAGTTCCCATCAGCAGTTGTCATCAGCTTGGTCTGTCATGAGCCACGGAACAGTTTCGCACGGTGATGATGCCACCACGCGCCACCAGGAATTGCGCAGCTTTTCCGCAGCCGCCGTGGATGGCACCTCAATCGAACAAAAACCCAATTTTTTTCCCCCGAAATTCACACCTCCAGGGCCTGCCAAAGACTGAGCTTCACACAGTCCACTGCGTTGTAGTTCCATAGCACCGGATTGACTTCATTGATGTCCTGCACTTCGCAAGTTGCAGTGGTTAGTACGCCTACGCTTAGCAAGGCCATGAAATTGGACCCCTTTAGGGCTGGACAATGTGATGCAATCACAGTAAGCATGATGTCTACACTTACAACCTGACTACCAGTAAACAGTACTATCGGACATTGCTTAGAATGCTTAGAACAGAAAACCCTCCGAACTCGGTGAGTTTCCACCGCCAGCTCGGCTTACCCATGAACTGATTAGTTCCATCACCATTCCAGTTCCGTTGGGATTCAGAGAGTGAATAACTAAAAATCATGGATATTCCAAGGTAAGCTGACCTCGTTTACAGCAAAACAAACTTAGTTCCACCTACACTTCACCACCCTGAAGAAACCTACCCATTATTTATTGCGGATATAACACTGATATATAAGCATTTTTTATTGGTGAAATCCCCACCCAAACCGTCACTTGACAAATGACAAAGAACATCCATGACTCGGGCTGGGTATCAGTCATTATGTTCCCCCATTTATCGCGAAGAAATATCAAGCCTACCATCCAGAAAACTAACAAAAAACTATGGAAACAAAACACAAATTTATACAATTTTGATAGGTAAATCAACTATTTCTATGTACACTTTTCCATAGATATGATTAGATATGTTAGTTTATCAGAGGGTAAAGTATTTGCGCATAATCCTGAGTCATTTGACCTGTTGGAAAAATCACGCTGCTTCCATCTCCCCTTTATCAGGGGCTTCTCTCCCCAGTGGAACTCCGGGAACAATCAGCAAATCATCGACAAAACATAACTCCCATCGATACAATCGTTGATGCTCCCATGAAATCCCAGAATAATCCCATTTATTTTCAGCATTTTCCTATACTTTCCCAGATTTTCTCATTTTTCTTCCCATTTTCTTGGCTGAACCTCCCCAGTTTCTCCATGAATCCCTGATTCATGGCCCCACACCTGGCCGTTCTGCAGAAACTCATCGATTCGGGGGATGTCTCCGGCAAAGCAGGCGCCCCACCAGGTGTAGTTGGAACCCAAACTCCTGCCCAGTGAACGACCAACAAACAAACATGGGGAAAAAAAACCTATGGTTTGATGATGAAACCCTATGTTTGTTGTTGATGTTGTCAGTGATGATGATGATGATGATGATGAAGATGATGCTTGACCTTTGAATTACATGTGAAACACCATGTATTTTTGGAATTTAATTCTGATGAAAGTGTTGTACAGTTGTTGATCGTGTTGTACCAATACAAATGCGTATTGCACTATCAACACTTGGGAAAAAACACACTCATTGTAAATGTCATTGAATGTCCAATTTACATTAAATGGGGGTTTCTTAACATGGGGGATCCCAAAAAACCAAGGGTTTCAGCCTGAGGTAGTCAGCTATCTCCACCTGTCAGCGAATGTCAGGGACCCTCAATGAAAGTGAGGACTTATCTAGGACAAATATCGGGATTTAATGGGGTTTAATAAGAAAAACATGGAATTTAATGGGGGTTAATGAGAAAAACATGGGGATTTAATGGGATTTAATGGGGTTTAATGAGAAACACATGGGGATTTAATGGGATTTAATTAATGGGACATATGTCAAAAGGGAGATAGTGATAGTTCCCCAAAAAAAACGACATCTTGATAGGATTTTTATAATCAACCGCTGGATTCTTTGGGATACCCTATCTTCCGGACAACTCCATGCGGCAAAAGTACCCTAGGTGAACATGAAAATAACTCACAAATGGATGCAACGCGCCGAAAATGGGTCTATCTATAGTGGATTATAGTGGTATGGACGGTATGGATCCATACGCCATATCTTGGTAAGACATTAAAACTGACAACGAAAAATCGTGGAATCCTTCACCAATGATTCCACCTCTGGTCGAGCCACATATTGTCCTTTCAGGAAAAATAGGCGGGTCTGGTACACCATTGATTCTCATCTACCTATTTGGGTGTGTCTGAAAATAGTGTACCCCTAAACCCAATGGTTAATGATCATTATCCCTATTAAATGGCTATAATTGGGAATATACCCTATTTTCAGACAAACCCATTTGTTGACTGGAATGCAACCGGTCAACGAAGCACTGGGAAAAACCATAGGAGCCACAGATCCAACGCGAGGCACTTGGATCCAAGCTTTCATCGGGACCTTGACTCTAAGATGGCATGGAAGTCATCGCCGTTCTAGATGATTTACCCGTTCAAAATGGTGGGTTTTACATGGCTATGTGAGATTGCCAGAGGGCAAATAGCTGTATATTTCTATATTTAATGGCAAAACCAAACACACATGAAAAAACAATACCCCAAAACAAACATAATCCAGTTACATATATATATATATATGTATAATACGTATATATATATATATATACATTGCAAAATACAAATGGCATATATACCAATGTGAACCATAGTTCTAGTTTGTCTTGGACACCAAGCGGCATTTAAACGTTTAAAAAAACACACAAGACATCGACTGAGTTGGCCAATCTGGGGGCCTCTTCGTTTGGCCATCGGAATTGCTCCTGGGCTCATCCCTTTGGAATGGGATCAACATGGATGTGCCTGATGATTGGTACAATGTGAGCCCCCCCGTTATAAGTTGGTTTATAAGCCCCAGTAACTGTAGTTATAAGTACCATAAACCATAGTTATTGGAGTTATAAACCTGAACAATCGATATACTGGAACTTGATATCCAATATGCAAGCGGCTTCTGGTCATGGTTTATCCATATTTATCCTGATTGTTGTCCACTTGCTGACTGGGTGTTTAATAGTGGTTCCGAGTTCTTAGGTCAGTTCACACTTCCTGTAAAACTACCTGTAGTATGTAGTCAGAGTTTTGTTCTCTAGCATTAAAATCCATAAAAGGTATAACTTGGGCACTGTTCACAGCGAAGTAGCTACTGTGTTTATATATGTAATAAATAATGTGCTTAACACATGTTATAAACCGATGTCTGTCCACTTTCAAACTGGTGTCTGATAGCAGTTCCCATAGTGGGTCACAATCTCATAATCGTAATAGTAATAGTGCTTGTACATATGTAAGCGGGTATATAGCTATCATTGAAACAACAACTAAGGATGAAGCCCATGGCAGTACACGACATCTATAACCGCAATTGCACCACCCGCTAGATAGTATACCATAGTATACCCTCCCTTGATTGAGCATGACGACCCTAGCAAGTAGGGAGTTAGAAGAACACTAAGGCATGCACACATGGATGACTCTCAGTGTCTAGGTTGGTTTTGAGGAGGGTAAGTCCCACTAAATTATATTTAGTATCCAGTCCCGACTATATACCTTCTGCATTTTTCAACGGTAAATCATCATATAAATCATTAAAAAAAATCATAGACCATCGATTTTCATGGGCCATTTTCCATAGCTATGTTAAACAACCAGAAAATCAATCCCATGAATTCACTAGCGAAATCTGCTTCAAAACCTCAGCCCAAAAAGGCGCCTTCCCAGCGTAGTCAATGGCGCGAAAGCCACAGCGCGAGACAGGGCCATCGAGGTCAACGCCTTCAAATTCCACCAGCCACTTGACCAAATGAAACCTGGCGATGGCGCTGATCGTATCTTAGTCTGGGGTTGAAAAAAAAACATGACAAATATATATATATATATTTAATAGTGGAGAGAACTGATACAGTACATGATGTTTGGTAATGTTAAGAACAAATTTCTCAGTGGATTGTGAGAATACTTGGATGTATCTATTGAATAGTATAATATATTGGATAGTTAGAATCCCATATAATCCCATGTAATAATCAACCAACAGTGGTTCTGAACACTGCTCAGATATGTTGGGCTTATGGTGGGGTGAACATCATAGGTATGGGATGCAACACATAGTTTCATGTGTATATATATATAGTCTTGTATATATATACACAATATATATATACAATATATATGTGATATCTATAGGAATCTATAGGAATAATGGTGATTCTTGCATGCAACTGCAATCACTGAGAGTTTTCGTGATGGATGTGCATCTCAGAAATCGTTTTTGTGGTGAACAATGCCGACTCACTAGCTGCATGGTCCATGCACATCTGGGCAAAAAAAGGCTGAGGCAATGGGGATGGGATTGTAGATCTCTTGATATGGGGATTCTATACAAATCACTGGAATTCTATTGGGATAAGGGATGGATAAGGGTTGTGCCACTGTGGAGATGATCGCTTAAAATCAACCATAGCTGCGCTCAAAGAGCTGTCAGAAGGATGCATTTCAGGGAAATGGTCACGGAACCCCCATTTTTGGTGGACTTTTTTTCGTTTGTTTCAGGGGATTGGTTACAATGTTTATGGCAACAACATGCCGGTTAAACCAATGGCACAATCATGTGGGTTAGCTATGGTTAGCTGTTTTAGCTTTCCATTTAAGGAACTTCGAAATCTGGCACTTGCAGTGCACTTCAGAATTCTGAAGAACTGGGCTGGCTAAATTGTTTTCAGCAGGTGACGTTGACGTAACCTACAATCGAATGATACCAATCAATCTGAAATTGCTTGGTGGTGCAATAACCATCTTGAAAAATATGAGTTCGTCAATGGGAAGGATGACATCCCATATAGAAAATGGAAAACAATCTTGGAAACCACCAACCATCTGAAATGCAGATGACATCTGCATATCAAATGGTTGGTATCACCTCAAAGCACCAACAGGCCGGTGGGCCAACCGAGCTGACAGGCGATCATCAGCCTTAGATTTTTTCACCAGATTTCTGGCTGGCTGAACATGGGGAAAACCGACAGATATTCTGTGGGATTATTAAAACACATGAGATTAATGGGATTATAATCATAATTTCATACATAAGAATGATTGAGATATAATAAATTGGGATATTTCAAAATGTTCAAACAACTTTCAGATCAACTTTCATCAGTGGCCATTTCAGGTACCTAAACTGGAGCTACTGTACCAGATATAAAAGCACCAGAACTTCGGGCTATATCCTCTGAAATTTAGCCCTTATATACACCTTGTAAATGATAGGTGCCTCCAATTTAGCTTCCTGTAGAGGCCATCAACATGCTTGAGGGTGCAGTTGAGCTTACAAAATGTCGACAACCATGGTTGTAAAACCCCCATAGGTTGGGATATAACTTTGTACCTCTGGTTGCGTTATATATATATACATAATATTGTGTGTATATATATATATTATATACATATGCATATGTGCATGTATATGTATATGTATATGTATATGAATATGTATATGTATATGTATATGTATATGTATATATTCACTGATAACTGGAATTACTGGAACTGCACTTCCTAAGTGGTGAAGTTACATGCCAAACACCCATACCCATATGCTCCATGTGTGGAATATTTGTATACCCACATCGGGTCATTGTTTGAGGCACTTGTTGGTAACTATTCCATAGCTGGAGCAGTTCACATCCGAGATCATCCGGGTCACTTTTCGGAATCACGGTAGCCTGTTTTGGGGCTGTTCCAATTGAAAGCACACCCAACTGATGCTGCACCAGCGATCCATTTTGTTGCAAAGTTCAGCTGGATGTTTTGCAGACTCGGCCAAGTGAATGGCAACTGGACAAAAACCCACCGATTTTACCAATGTGAGATACACAAAGGTGCCAGCCCGACAAATTACACGTTCCCAAAAACCACTGATCTCACCATTTTTTTTCCGATGGCTTCCCCTGGGCCCTGGTTCCCAAAAACCACCGAGTTGCGGGGTTTTGAGTTCCTTGTCCAACGGAGCATTCTTGTCGGCACCTTTCAAAATGAGATCGTGCACCTGCAGGGTAGGAGCAGCGTCCCCTGTCATCCACAGCTTCAATAGACTGTTTGCTTAGACAAGAAACGGATAGTCAGTAGTCATTAGCAGTCATGATCACTCATGCGTTTTGGGATGTTTTGGGATGTTTTGGGAATGTATGGATGTGGCAAAATCTACCTGCAAACTAGCAGAGATCCAATGCCTTGAAGGATCCGACTGCGGGAAACTAAAGGCTCCAACGATGCTTCAGTACACGCAACAGCAACACCTGGAATTCTGGTGATCTCAAATGTTCCTTTCCTTGTGTCATTTATGTTTTGGGATGTTTTGGGAACCTTTAAACAAATGTGTGTCAAGCACTTTGTCAGTGGGATAAATGGATGAACATGGTGTGTTCCAGGCCCTCGCGTCGACACAGCTTTCGACCTACGACCATCTGTGTAGCCATGGAAATGCCATCAAAATGCTAAACAAAAAAAATATGGCTCTATGAGTTCTATGGCGTATTTGTAGTGGATCCAATCCTGTTTGCTGCTGGAATATTTACCAACATCTACCAACAACACCAGAAATCGCCTGCCTCCTGGATCGAGCCCTTGACACATGCCTGGCAAGGAAACCCAGTGGAAACGTAACCTGTCTTGATCATCACTGCCATTATCAACATGATAATAATAAACAACATAGTAATAAGTATAATCATAAATAATAATAATAATACTAATAATAATAATAAGAAGAAGAACAAGAATAATAGCAATAAATGATAATAATACACAATGATAGCAATACTACCAGTAATAATAATAAAACATAATAATAATAATACATAATAATAATGATCATAAATAACAATACAAACAATGATAAAAAAACAATAAATAATACGCCGGGGAAACTTAACGTAGCACCGGCGGACAAAAAACCAAGATATTAACATAGCCCCCGTTCATCGAAGACTCCTGGGGAAGTCATATATACTGGATGATGCTGAAAGCTGCCAACATCCTATCCAACTCACCTTAACCTGACACCTGGGCAGGCCTTTCCAGACCACATCAATTAAACATGAACCATCCAAAAAACCAGATTTCACATTAACATGGCCTAAAAAATGCAAACAGTGAGTGTGTCCCACAGGTTCCATGTTAAAGTGCCGCGCCTTTTTTTTTCCCCCGTACTCCCCTTTCCGGGTTTTGCGCAACATCTTCTACGATCCACTCAGCCGAAGACACCCTTGACTTTAACATGAAACATGTAATGCTATTCCAGGTTAAACTTGAGCAGTGAAACACAAAAAGACTGTAAACTAGAGCAATTTTAACGTGGAACGTTAACATGCCTCACCCCACCCCAACCCCAGGGCTGCGTAGCATCCACAACGCATGCAAGTTACATGAAACGTAACATGCCCTATCCCACCCAAACCCCAGGGCTGCGTAGCATCCACAACGCATGCAACTTACATGAAACGTTAACATGCCCTATCCCACCCCAACCCCAGGGTTGCGTAGCATCCACAACGCATGCAGTTACATGAAACGTTAACAGATGCCCACCCCTCCCCCAACCCCAGATTGCGTCGCATCCACACGCATGCAATTCATGGACGTTAACATGCCCCACCTCGCATCCCCAACCCCAGGTTTGCTTAGCATCCACAACGCATGCAAGCTACATGGACGGTTAACATGCCCCACCCCGCCCCAACCCCAGGATTGCGTAGCAGACACAGCGCATGCAAATTACATGGAACGTTAACATGCCCCACCCTGCCCCAACCCCAGGATTGCGTAGCATCCACAGCGCATACAAATTACATGGAAATGGTCTTCTAACATGCCCACAACCCCCGCCGCCACAACCCGAGTGTGGTTGCGTTAGGTATCACCAACGCATGCAAATTACATGGAACGTTAACATGCCCCACTCTACCCCAAACCCAGGGTTGCGTAGTATCCACAACGCATGCAACTTACATGAAACGTTAACATGCCCCACCCCGCCCCAACCCCAGGATTGCGTAGCATCCACAGCGCATACAAATTACATGGAACGTTAACATGCCCCACTCCACCCCAAACCCAGGGTTGCGTAGTATCCACAACGCATGCAACTTACATGAAACGTTAACATGCCCCACCCCGCCCCAACCCCAGGATTGCGTAGCATCCACAGCGCATGCAAATTATATGGAACGTTAACATGCCCCACCCCACCCCAACCCCAGGGCTGCATAGCATCCACAACGCATGCAAGTTACATGAAACGTTAACATGCCCTATCCCACCCCAACCCCAGACTTGGTGGTGCACTTTTGGAGCTGAATCCAGACTTGGACCCTTTGGTGGTTCTTTTTTTACCGGTGGGTGACCAACAGGTGAAAAGATGAATCACCAAATCATGGACCGGTGGGCCATGTTAAAATATCAGGCTATCCATGGTAAAACCTTTGGTTTGTTTCTGAGGTTCCCCATACTTCCCAGGAAGATTTCTTTCCCCAAAAGAACAAAGCGGCATGGATCCCAAATCAGTATTTTCACATGATATTTTTTCTTTATTAAACTCTTTATATAAAATGCTCGATTTGTGCACTTTTGGTGCTGAATCCAGACTTGGGCCCTTTGGTGGTTGTTTTTTTAGCCGTGGATGACCAACAGGTGAAAAGATGAATCACCAAATCATGGACTGGTGGGCCATGTTAAAATATCAGGATATCCATGGTAAAACCTTTGGTTTGTTTCTGGGGTTCCCCATACTTCCCAGGAAGATTTCTTTTCCCAAAAGAACAAAGCGGCATGGATCCCAAATCAGTATTTTCACATGATATTTTTTCTTTATTAAACTCTTTATATAATATGCTCGATTTGTGCACTTTTGGTGCTGAATCCAGACTTGGGCCCTTTGGTGGTTGTTTTTTTAGCCGTGGATGACCAACAGGTGAAAAGATGAATCACCAAATCATGGACTGGTGGGCCATGTTAAAATATCAGGATATCCATGGTAAAACCTTTGGTTTGTTTCTGGGGTTCCCCATACTTCCCAGGAAGATTTCTTTTCCCAAAAGAACAAAGCGGCATGGATCCCAAATCAGTATTTTCATATGTTTTTTTTCTTTATTAAACTCTTTATATAAAATGCTCGATTTGTGCACTTTTGGTGCTGAATCCAGACTTGGACCCTGATGAGAAAGGCCCAACTTTGAGCACAAAAACGAGTGCTGCAGGTAGGATATGTTAAAGTTCCTTAATGACGACCTGTTTGCCTCTTTGCATTCCCCATGAATACATACTGTTCAATGGCCAAAATTCCAAACGTGCTATGTTAATTTAAATTTCCTTCCAAAACCTTAAGGTTCTTGGGGATTCCTGGGGAACGACTGAAAAAAAAATGAAAACAACAAAAGCAAAATCAGACTTGTCTTTCCTCCTTATTTCATGTTAACGAAGTACCCGAGACAGTGTTTTTTTGGTATGTTAACATGGTCCGTGATTTTTTTTATTTTTATTTTTTAGCCACGTTAAATTTACCCGGCGTAATGAATAATGTCAAGTGAGGATTAATAATGCCCCCCGATTAATCAACAGCAACTGCCCCCCCAAAAAAAAGTCATTTAAAAACAGGTGGTCCCCCCAGATTAATAAATTTTTTGGCCTACCCCCGATTAATCAACAACCACTTCGGAAATCCATTTTTTTAATCCAACATTTTTTATTTCCAATTCTATTTATTTCCAATTGTTTTTTACCTTTTTTTAATCATCATTGTTATACTTCAGGTTTAAGTTGATCATTGAAAATTTCAAAAAACAACTATTCCCCAAATGATCGATTTCTAATTAAAATATTTATTAAAAAAACATCAGTTTGGATAGCTCCCAAAGGGTACCCCCCATGAGCCCATGTCCCCCAGTAATAATAACCATGGTTTGCCCCTGATTAATCAACCACCTTTCTGATCCATGAAATTTTAACAAATCCAATGGAATTCTATTAAGATCTAATTGACGTAAGCCATATCCAAAGTTTTACAGTTCAGATTTGCTTATTATTAAGGGGCGATCAAGAAAACCAGTCAGAAGGTACCTCCCTACCTTCTGGGGGGGGGTTATTAATCCGGTGTTGGCATTAATAATAATACTAGAAAACATAAGAACAAAACCAATAATAAACCAATACTGTAATACTAACAAGAATAACATATTATACACCATGGACCATGATAAAATATGACAAGACCATGTCCGACAGGGCTCCGCTGCAAAAGACCGAGCATGACCCTACAAGACATGATAATGTCCTGTACAAACTCAGCTGGATTGGATGCCTTCCTGGTGTTTTCAACTAAGTGCTGCTGGCTGGCGGCCTCTTCTAATCGAAACTCCAATTCCGGCAATTCATCTCGAAAGATGTCGTCCGTAAAGCGCTCCGGATACTTCCTGTCGCTGTTCAGGAGTTGCATCACAGGAAAAAACTCCATCACCCAAATGAATCTATTTAATGGACGCACATGGATGACAAGTTCACCTATTACTGGTTTATACTGGTTTACTGGCATCCTACAATAAGGCTCGGCTCATGCCCCTGGGATCCTTGACACACGGCAGACAAATGACTACTATAAAAGGTATGCCAAACATGCGGGGCAAAATCATACATGCCCATTTCTATACTATAAATTCAGGGTCTGGGTCGGTGTGCACCCCTTCCGAGTTTCGCCCATTCTCCCTTCAAGACGGCGCTTAAAAACTACTCAGTGAAGTGGTGATCTTCATGCCCTCTGGTCTACAAACATGGCAGGATGAAACAGGAAATCCAAATTTTGAAACATGTTCCATGCAGCATCTATATATATATACATGATTACACATGGATTTTCCTTCCCACTATGACATGTCTTGTTCTTGAATGGTCTGGCAGTCTGGCCATCCAAACTATGCATATCTAATTATATATTTATACGGGGTTGTCTCAAACTTTTTTTGGGGGGTATAGAACCTCATTGTCCCATCGTATACAATTGGCATGTCCCAAATATTGAGAGACACAATTCACAACAAAGAGGTCCCGATAAAAGTTATAATTCTTGTTGTCAGACATACACCCAAGCTAACCATTCAGAGATTTATTAGATCCTGGGTTGCCATGACATGATGTAATAAGCCAAGAAAGCAACTTTATACCATCAAGCCCATTTAACGGGCGGAATCAAATTCACATCACAAAATCAGGAGTCTATATTGCTATTATACAAATAGATATGCAGTAGTACTGTATCTGGTAATATCAATATTGAACAAATATTACAAAGACTATATAGTTTGTGTCTTTTTTGGGTTTCTCACATGTTCTACCACGTGTTCCTTCATTTTCCCCACCTGTTTTGCTTTTTCCTGGCACTTGGTAATCTGAATTTCACACATCCCCAGCCCAAGCGCCTTTCGTCTAAGGGTGGATAGTCCGTGGGCGTCGCAGGCAGCTGGTTGAACAAATCTGCCCAGACCTGTCTAGAGACGGGCAAAATTCATCACCAAAACAGATACTTTGATTACTATCAGCACAGTTATGGCTATATAACCACTTATAAATGGGATTATGAGTTCTGTAACGGTGAAAAACATCAGTGAAATGAAGTTTGTTCAGCCAGTTAAAACTTATAACTGTTAAGGGCTATACTCCCCAAACGCTGAGCTCACCCCTCCACCAGTGGATGGATAAGAAAAGAATGATTGAAACCATCTTCACCTTGTGCAGCTATCATGGCTTACACAAACTGGTTGGTGGTATACCTACCCCTCTGAACAATGATGGAGTTCGTCAGTTCGGATGATGAAATTCCCAACTGAATGGAAACAATAATGCCATGTTCCAAACCACCAACCAGCAAATTTGATACAACGTGATAGAACTAACATGAACATGTTACCCAAGATGTTTCTGGAGCTTCCAGCAGAAAAAGTCACCCAAAAGGCAACTGGTTCTAACATGTTCTAACCCACGGCAACAGGTCCAGCCGGGGGGACAGCACAATCAGGGTTTCAAATCAGCGGTCTGTGGGTTCACTTTCAGATTGACTCGCGAATTCTCAGGAGATGATGAAATCCATTTCACATTTTATTGAATTTTAGATTTTTAGATTATAATGCCAAATCATGATGAATTCTCAGTAGATTTCAGTAGATCATTATCGCCTGATCATGAGTCAATTGACTTCACCGATAAGAACATAGTTGAACACCATATGGCAAACTAGGGCACCCCACACACACACACACTCACTCCCTCCCTCCCTCCCTCCCTCACTCACTCACTCACTCACTAAAAAACAAAAAGACAAAATAAGACAAAAAGCTCAGTTTTTGCATATATATATATATATTATACTCGTATACGTTGATTTCATTCGCAGTTAAGATACCTACCTTACCTGTCACATCCTTGTTTGAGCCTGACACTCCACTGATCTCCTTGCGAGATGGTATCATTTCGGAGCCAAGGCTATGGTGGTGGGACTAAGCTCACTACACTGGATCCAGCCGCCATGACAAGGAACCCACCTGCGAATGTGCTGGGGGCCTTGATATCACGGATTTATATGGATTTGTTTACTTGGAGGTTTCTTAAAATAGGGGCACCCAAAACCATCCAAGTCATGGATGACAATGACTTAGTATTGAAAGCCATGGGGACTTGGGGAATCGCCATTTTAAGAAACCCTCATTTGACATCACATACAGCATGCTTCTTTGCCGTCTTTTTTTTGCGGTGTGATGAAATTTGCTACTATGTTTCCTTCGAATAAATGCTGGTATGACTTATTGGAGATCCCAAATGATTTGAAAATCATGGGAAGTGTTGTCAAGAAGCGGATAGAATGAAAGACTGGTTGGTCTCATTCGACCACGCCATAAAGACATGAACATCAGTTTCTTGCTAACTTTAAGCTACCTTGATTGCGGAAGTACCCATGAAAATGGGCAGTAGTAGAGGTCATTGTCAAACACAAATTCATTTGGAATCCTTTGGACATAGTACATGACCAAACTTACTTCAAAAGAGTTCACCAGGTAGCCATCCCCACGACCCAAACAATGGCTCATGTTTAAGGCAAAGTAACCTTCCAATATCTTTACATTGGTCAAACTTGAGCACACCCAAAAAAATGGATGTATCCTATGATCCTGGATGGATTATTATGGATTATGAATTATTCTGGACTAATTTCTGATTTCTAATGGATTTCTGGATTTCTAACTGGGTCGTCATGTCGGGAAATCTCCGACCCAGCCTGCGCCGTCAGCTGGTCGCCATTTGAGCCGACGCTGACGCAAAAAAGAATCAGTGTCAAGGGATTCTGCAAAACATATGCCTACTCTATCCTAATCTTCTATCATTATAGCAAATATCATTAGTGCACACATATTAATGCATACTGTAGCTTCATGTAGCATCACACATTTGCAACGTGGATGTCTTTTGATCGAATCTCACGGTTGTCAAGCGGACACGTTGTTCGGATCCGCAACCAAGCATCAATGCAGCCAACGTGATAAAAGTGGCCGCAGGGAAGATAACACACAATTTCGCCTTCTGCCATGGTCTGATGACAAATGGCACAAATGTCCCTGCTGGCATCAAGCTGCTCACATGGCAAGGATGCCAGGACTTCTGCAATGTCTTTCTCCTCTGAAGAAACCTCAACAGTCTCACGCACCAGTTCAGTATCCCACTGATGCCCAAAGGCTCTCAAGTAGTTCCAGGGTTGAATCTCACCTTGGATGTGCGGGTCCCTTTGGAAAAGAACACGTTCCCAACAGTTTCGAATATCTAATGAATTAGGCAATGGAAAGCAAACACATGAACCTCATAGTAATGCCCAAAAAGGATCAAAAAGGTGGAAAATCATTGACGGTTGATTTGACCTTTTCAATTGGATGTGTAGTATATGTGATGAATGAAGTGTTTCATACAGTCTCCTCAGATTTGCTTGCCGCTGGATTAACGTCAGTTTACACCAACTAACACATCAAACTACAGAAACACTAAAATCTGGCTGTCAAATTTGGTTACTTAGTACTTCTGGTAGATGTTTCCAAAATTCGACCCTCTCCATCTCTGCTCCATGATTTTTTTAATGATTTTTTGGATCCATCCACTTTCCATCAGGTCGCGGGCATGTCTTCCCCTTCTCCCCAGGTCCTTCAGCGCCTTCTGCCGGTGCTCCAGCATCACCTGGGGATCCATGGCGATCTGTGCGCCGACGGCCTGCAGCCTGGCTCGCCGAAGACAGCCCAGGTGCACCCATTGGGGGATCACGTTGGGCTCCATGATGAAGCCCAGCCGCACATCTCCTGCGATGGGAAAACTATGGGGGGGAAACGAAAATTTGATGCTGACACCTCCTGGTTATGTATAATGGTCATTAATGATCAACAGACTCAGACTTGGAACATTTTAGTAATTTAATTCAATGGTTGGTATTGTTTACAATTGCGTGTCCAAAAACTATGAAAGATTCAACCTTGGCATCATCATAGCAATAAAAACGAACGCATCAACTTGTCCTGCAGCAAAATTCTGATGGCAACAGCTGCAGTGCTCAGATCTTGAGTGTCCAACTTCCAAGTACAGCGCTGGCAAGTCAGGCCGCACAGCCCTACTTGGAAGGGCTCGAACCGTTCGAGCTCGGACTGGGCGCGCCGGGACGCGAAGGTTCGAGACGATCATCTCCAAGTCATCATCAATTTTGATGGACACCTCGTGGTTAAGCCAAAACTGTCGAAACAAAAAACACCTCATTGGGCATTGGGCATTGGCATTGGGCATTGGGCATTGGGCATTGGGCATCAGCGCCAGCATCAGCATCAGCATCAGCATCAGCATCAGCATCATCATCATCATCATCATCATCATCATCATCATCATCATCATCATCATCATCATCATCATCATCACCGTCAGCAGCAGCAGCATCAGCATCATAATCATCACCATCATCATCATCATCAACATCACATCATCATCATCATCATCATCATCATCATCATCACCATCATCATCATAATCATCATCATCATCAGCAGCATCAGCATCATAATTATCACAATCATCATCATCATCATCATCAGCATCACATCATCATCATCACCGTCATCATCATAACCATCATCATCAGCAGCATCAGCATCATAATCATCACCATCATCATCATCAGCATCAGCATCACATCATCATCGTCACCATCATCATCATAATCATCATCATCATCAACATCATCAACATCATCATCATCATCGCCATCATCATCATCATCATCACCATCATCATCATCGTCACCATCATCATCATCATCATCATCATCATCCCGCATGAGGGGGAAATAGAACCTGAAACTACTTAACATATCATTTACCCTATCTATATATACGTATATATATATATATACTCACATATTATTGTAAACAAGCACAACATATTTAAACGTAAAATCATGTGCTAACCTCCAATCAGAAACTGGTGCAGAACTTCGATGCCTGAGGTTTGGAAATCCCCGTTGACTCGCTTGTCGCTCCAGGCTTTGTCCCGTCGCAACATTTCGCTCGCCACTGCGCGAGCGGGGAACCAGGGTTTGTCGGTTCCGGGGGCGACGAGGAGGCTCTTGACAATCTGAGTCATCTACGAAAACCTGGGATTTGAGATGCCAAAATGGGGATTTAACCACTCAAAGTTGGGACTAATTCATAAACCCTGGGGATCTAAAACCCCAGACGTTTTGGTACCTGAAAATAGAGGAGCTAATGTGCAATGTGAGTATAGTGGGGATATGATTATTAAATCAAACCAAACATTCGATGGCGATGAATGAAATTTACTATATATATATATATATTTACGCAACAATATATTTGGGCTTAGTCTGACAATTGGATAGTTCAAAATAAAAAGGTTTGATCATCGTCATTTTCTCAATTATAATATATCATACACTGGGGTATCATCTCATTTTTTATTGGTTTAGAGGAACAATTGCAGGAAATCCCTTTCTTTCATGGTAAAACAGGTTTACGGTTAAGAATTCCCCTTAAACCAATCCATTCACCTCAATGAGGCTCGAAAAGGTGACAAACATCAGACAAGGAAACCTGAGGATGGTACGGACACCCCTCATTTCTTGCTGACATAGGGGATGTTATTTTTGTATATTGGATATGTTGGTTATATTATATTATATGTATACCTAGACCCTCCAAGTACCTATAAAAATTGTGTCCTACCCCATGGTTTGAATTCGTTGTAGATGTTTTTGTTATTGTTTAGGGGGTATGTATATATGTTAAGTTCATATTTAGAAGCAGGGCCAAATTAATCAACACCCACATTCCAAACAAAACGTTTGGCAATACTGCTTTGGGTTGGTCCCGCCCTATTAATAAACATGTGCGACACCCCCTATTAAACAACACCCTGCTCAGAAATCCTAATTTTGTGGTAGTCAGGAATCAGGAGTTTTTTTAATGGTTTTAATTAATTGTTTTTTTGATTGTTGAACAAGTAATGTCTTGAAGGGATGTCCCATGCCCAATCTCACATCACACAGTCTGGAGGTAGATACCCTAAGTTCTGCATTGTAAGGCCAAGTAGGAGAACACCTTGAGGCCCCACGGCGTGGTACGACGTAGCAGGCTGCACGTCGATTCGCATGGGTATGGGACCTTAAGACCTACGGGCCCATGTTTTACCATCAATTTTTTGGGGTACCCAGGTTTTGACCCACAATCCAGTTTTGTATAGTTTTGTGTATAAACAAATCACCATTGAAATCCAGGAAACTGGAATCGAATCAAAGTCGACTCCTCTGAAAGGAACGGCGCTTTCGCTCTGCATGGCATTGTGGTCACGGCTCACTGCACTACCAAACCATTGTCTGCCGGGAGCCAAGCAGAAGCAGATGAAGCAAGTACACGTGTATTTGCCCCTCCCTGTTTAAGCCTACTTGCAACGTTGTCATGGGGGGTATCCAAAAATGTTCCAAGTCCATCTGACTATAGCACAAGGGGATAGTACATCTATTGATTCCATCCCCTACTCTTATGATCTTTTAATATCTTTTATGTATAGTATATATGATAAATTATATGAATTTATATGATCATATATCTGGGTAAATTATAACTTTTCACCAACCTAAATTAAGGCCATGTGGGAATGATTTCCCTTACTAACCATGATTCCAGTGAGGTCGCAGTGAGGTCGTCATAATTTACCCAGATATATGTAGGGTATATGTTGAAAATTAGCTTGTTGTTCATATAACATTTTTGGCGTCCGGCCCCATGGGCCACTATGGGCCACTGGGGTAGTGGTAACCGAATCAGCAGCTGAAACATCACATTAAGACCAATGATAAAAACATAATAATCAATGACCATAGTTCAACTCACACTTTGTAGTAAGATCTTGGGTATATCAGTGTGATATATTGTGATCATTTGTGATATGGTATGTCAACTCGCCAATTGTTGGTATCTGAATACCGAGGATCACACCAGGTTGATCGGGGACTGATCCTTGGAGCAGTGTGTTGCATGGAGCCTTTACAGTGGTAATAATGATAGTGATCATGTTGAAAATTGAAGTTATTACTATCATATACTATCATTATGTCAAACAACTATCTATAGATTGATCATAATTTCCAAAGCCTGATCAATCATGATCAACCCATACATCAGTCAATCTAAATAGATCTTGATTCAGATTCTGATGGATCAGTCCATGAAGTGTAAGCATGTGCAACCACGAATGCTAAGACTATGTTCAATGCCCAACCTGTTTACATCTGTTTGTCCTAGCCCTAGCCTTTCTCAGGCTGGTCGTTAGTCGATGTGCCATTCACTTTTTCAAAGCTAGTGGATTTGTGAAAAATGGCGGAGACATGTGGACAATAATAGTATACAATAGTCAAATTTATCGGAAACGGGGGTTTGTCCTTTTTTCAGACAATCCTAGGTCGCAAACATGATACTTTATGATAGTTCGATGAAACGAAATCCAAAAGGAAGATCATGCTTCTCACTTATTGCTGTGTTTTCCCTGCTGTGCTTAATACCTCAAAGGTGACAATGAATATATAATGAATATATATATATATACTTAAATGAATATGTTGTCAAAATGATAGAGGCAAAACCGTAAATGGAATCGAGGTAAATGGTTAACATGTTTAAAGCAAAACGGTAAAAGGAATTGATACGTGTGCACATTTTTCCTCAGACGGTAGAGGTACGATAAAAACATTTGGTAAACGCTCAGCCACATCTTTTCGCGCGGATTGTGAAGCATGTTTCTATCATAGATATTAAGCATAGTTATTAATCATAGGTGTTACAGTAACCATAATATTGAGGGGTCTTAGAAACGCTTCAAAACGAAAAACGGCGCTCAGCATCCATGCCCGGAATGTCTCAGTTTCGTACTCCCACATGCTCGCATTGGGAATCACCTCAGGATCAGCAGCTGCTTGAACACGTGCACCTTTTCCGAAAGCGCCAAACTCTATAAGGCTAAAATACCATCAATATCTCTGGCAACCTTCTGGCAATCAAACATGACAATGGACAATTCATGAGAATTCACCATACATCATTCACATACCACTAAGATAGGATTTTTAGACAACATTAAATAATGATAAATCTATCCCATCATGTTACAGACCATTTTCCCCATTCAAAAAACACAGTTGTTTCCCATTGCCAGGTTATACACTACCACAGGTTGGAGGGTCATCCCACTTAGCAACTGTTTTAAGGTAGCCCTGGCTGATGAGTCCCTTTGAAGTTGGTTAGATCGATGGGTTATAACTATGGGATTGGTGGTTGACCAACCCCTCTGAAAAATGATGGACTTCGTGAGTTGGGATGATGAAATTCTCAGCTGAACGGAAAGTCATAAAATTCATGTTCCAAACCACCAACCAGAGTAACATGTTATAACATGTTAGAACTATGGTTGCTAACCAGTTACGATCCGCAGGATGATCCTCCGAGTACATCCTGCAGGGACCCTCACCCCGCGACCAACTGATGGCAGAGCAACGTAGCTTGCCCCAGCTGCTCTGGTCTGCGTAGGTCCAAGGCGGACCCTGTCAACGCAGGGGATAACCAATAAACATGGAGATGTAACAACATGGACATGCAACCAATCGACGTTGGGATTCATCATCATCAAACAACCATAATATGAAACCTCCAAATGATAAACACTACCCCAGATTGTTGGTCTTAAGAATTTCAAATTGGCCAATATGTTTTTTAATTGATTACCTTATTCAGAAAACAATTTAAAGATCAAGGTCCTCTTTGAAGGTTCTACCCCTAATACTCAAAACTAGTTCACCGTAGGGTGTTCTTTATTAGGGTCTGTAAAATTCAATACTGAAGTTGTTTAAAGACAGTTTTGACTTAGTATTAGCGGAAAGTTTCGAATTCCAAGCTTTGGCAATATGTTGGTTAGATTAGATATGTTTAAATTTTAAAAAGTTCAAGTTTGAAATCGAACATGTTTGTTTCGAATTAATATGTCAAACTGTTTTGAATTGATACTAGGGGACAGCTTCAAACCTTAATACTGAATACCCCTAACAATAAATAATACCCCTGGGTCTTAAATTATGCTATTTAGGGGGTGGGAGTTTAATATTATATAGGGAGGGAGGGATTGGTGACAACTAACCCCTCGAACCATCGCACTTATACAAAGTTGCCGACTCTATTTTGCAAAGGGACGCTTCGAGCCCATCAAAGCAAGACACACATATTTTGGTGTGGGTTAGTATGGAGTAAATATGGGTTTTGTATGGTTTTGTATGGTGGCTAAGCTAAATATGGGTTCACAAAAAAAGTTTCTTGAGGAATGCTGCTAGTCCAGACATTCGCATTCAATAAAGTCATCCTGCTGTTTCCTTTTTCTGAAATACAAGCTGTCCCCAACTTGGCCAACAGCTGACATCTGCGGACCCATTTTTTCTCCTTCTCGGTCCCCATCTCAGCCGTGCCTCCGTTTTTTTGGATGGCTCCCCCGTTTGTTTATCAGCTTCCCCAATGGCTGAGTGCTCGCTGGCAATCAAAGAGCCCTATAAAATTGACGGCACCATGAAAGCACGCAAGACTTGGCTTGGTCCATGGATCGCATCGTTCCTTTTGGGAAGATTTTGTCCCCTATGCGCGAGATGAATTTAGATTTTGTCACCTGAAAGTCAAACCAAGTGCTCGGAAAAAGGGGCTGGCCTTTTTTCAGGTTGCCATTGTTCACAGTCGCTGCCTCTTGGTCGGTCGGCAAAGTAGATGCAGGCCCCAAGCTACTGTTTCTGTCTTTTCCCCATTAGCACCCATACTTTTGGGATTGAAAAAGCACACAGCCCAGTTTTGCTGTTTTCCTGGATTTTAACTTCATGCGTAGCTACATGTGCATTTGGTTTGGCAGCCCTACGGTTAACTTGTTGGAACCAAGCGCGTTGAGAGAAGATGTGGAAACATCTCGCTGCCCCTGGTGAGAACGCATTGAAATTCTTGTATTGAGAACGATTATGGGTCTGAGCACGTACCGGTTTTCATAGGTGCATCACCAACTCTTGGTGGTGCATGCTGTCGAAAACACTACCGACAGGACTGCCATGGTCGGTTGTCCTCTAAGTCAAACCCCATTGATCCCCATTGGCGACCTTGAGCCCTAAGCACAAAAGACCTTACCCAATGCGCCAATGAACCCGCGCAACTGATCAGCAGGAGGATTGACCCAAACTCCGACTTTTATATACTCCACTACTTAAAAGAACGCAAATCTTTGTGAGACCGAATTTTGGAAGGGAATGCGGATCTTAAGTCTTGAAAACTATGGGCCACGTTGTGGAAAAGTATGCGTTTTGTACGGGTTCGTTCGGGAAAAGGATGCGTTCCAGGGTATGCCCTGGATCTTTTGTCTTGTAAAAAAAAAGGATTAAGGCGATTTTCGTTGAAATTATGTTTTTCTTTTTGAATGCGCGTATTTTTTCGAATTTGTTCAATTTTGGCAGTTCATCCAGAATCAACTTTTTTCCCCAATGAAAAAGCTGCAATCATGTTTCAAACTTCTGCCTCCAGGGTGGCTCATTGTTGTCCAACATATTCCAAGAGCATGGGGTCCTTTCTTGTGAAAACTGCCAAGACCAGTAAGGTGGAGATAAAATCAACCTGAAGGGTACTGAAGGGATAGATCCAAGGCCAGTATCAATAAAGCGGTTTGAATTGTCTAAGAGAATGGACCATCAGATGTCATGACACCAAATTGGAAAAACTGTTTCCTCATTCCAAGAAAACACTACATAGTTTGTTTGAGTTCTTCCCAAACAATGAAGAAACACACGGAATTTGTTGGTTCTTGATGCATTGATGCGCAAGGAAGTATAGACTAGCACATGTTGGGGTTCATATTAATGAATTAGTGGTTTCAAACCATCTGAAAAAGAGTCAAACATATATGAGTCATTAGGGATTATCATCCCGAATATGGTTGAAAATCAACAACACCATCCGTTGATCAAACATGGCGATGGACAATCTTATACAAATGAAAGTGTTTATCGGAAACAAATCTGTAAACATATAAAACAAAAATATTGGTTATGTTTGAGTACCAGAGAGTATTTGAAACCGCCAACCAGTTCTTTTACTTCTCCAGGTAGCCCTGCCTCTGCTGTCCTCCGTCCACGCGAAGACGCACTTAGCTCGCCGGGTAGGACCTAAGTGCCGTGCTGCAGGGAATGGATCGAGATTTGGTGCCCGGAAATTGCTATGCACAACTTTGATCAAACTTGGATGGCTTGACAAACTTTCATGAATAAGTGCTCTGTATTCAAGTTGCATTCAATTTGAGGCTT